CTCCTGTGACGTCATCTTTGACCTGACCTGAAAATGACCTGAGTAAAAATTATAGACCTTATCCGTGTGTACCCTTTACCTTTTACCGCTTGTCGCTATCTTGCTTTATTCTCGAGATCTCGCTGTCGCTCCCGCTCGTAATAATGGACAGGTCATAAAAATGACCTGACCTGAGGTCAACGCAGGGCGATAACCACTTTTTTATTATCGCATATGAATGACAATTGATAAGGCTTTAATCGTCATCAGACAAAATTGCAACTTTCAGTGGGGAAAATATCTAGGTCACTCTTCGAAAAATAGGACAAAAGGTCACGTGATCAAAATTTTCAAAAATTGAAAATCCGAGATAGCCAAAATGTTTGTTGGTTGATTGTGAGTGGAACCATATGAAGTTTTATCGTAAAAAACAAATAGTTTCTGAGTTATAGGCCGCCAAACATAGGGCTGCAGCGCGAACTCCAAGAATTGCCCGAGGCTATAGCTCGGAAACCGTTCTTCGAAGAAAAAAATCCTTGCCACAGCTGGCTTCCCCGCCCATCACAACCCATTAGACCAGGGGCGGGCAAACTTTTGGGAGCGCGGGCCGGGTGTTGCATTTGTGAGCAACTGGGGGGCCGGAGTGCTAAGCTCGCCAGAGTTTCGTTTGTCAATGACTTAAATGGTCAATGGATGCTATGTTGCTATGACGCGACTGACCAACGACGGGCAATGACTGGCTCAGACAGAGACAAATACTTATAGTAACACTTACAAACGAATGACTTTTGACCCATGACAACCATACTAAAAATCAAGTCTGCTTATGTAAAATGCACAGTGCACACACACACACACACACACACACACACACACACACACACACACACACACTAGGAATCATAGGTCTCGCGGGCCGGATTGCAATGCTGGCTGCCTATCCAGGCCACGGGCCGGACGCCGGAGCTTGGCGGGCCGCATCCGGCCCGCGGGCCGGACTTTGCCCGCCCCTGCATTAGACCAATTTTAAGCAAAAAATAAAATATGAGGGTGCAGGGCACTTGTCGATTTGTCGTGGAACGCCCCAATAAGGAGATCATTTATTGCACACAATTTGTAAAAATGATGGGGAAAAAGTCACACAAATTTTCTGGACGCTACACACCGCGGTTTTCCCACTATTCAACACAAACAAAACAAACTGGGGTGAATATCCGTATCTGTCGGTGCACAAGCTAAGGTCTTAGGTGATACATCTCCAAAAACTGTCACTGAGCTGAGATTTCAGCACCATCGTACCTTCTCGTCATGGGCATTGGGCAAGCGCGTCGAAACGTCGCTTTGTGCTTGGGAATGGTCAACTTGAGGTGTTGACCATTTTTAGGTCAGGTAGGTATAGGTTAGGTTGAAGCCGCTCAGGTTACAAAGCGGCTGGAAAATGTAATATTGTATAGCATTCGATTTAGCAGATCTTGCTGAGTTCGTTGGCGGATTTCCGACTCGTCTTTTCAATTTCATCGGGATTTATTGACGAAAAACTGAAGAGAGTAAGCGGCCTGTGACGATACGCACTCGCAGGTTCCCAAATAGGTATAGAAATTAAGCATCAAACGTTGCAAAGAATGTGAGAAATCGCGATTGAACGTGCTTGAGAGTCCCTGGCCCGGCCGGACTCAAGGGGTAATCCCAATCACCATAAGCCCATGGGCGTACGTAGTAACGTACCCTCTGTCTACCTCGGCAAACAAAGAAACTAAGGGGAAAACGGTAACAAACAAACAGTTCCACGGAGTACAAAATCGGGCAAAACTAGTTGCAAACAAAAGACAACATTCTGAGGAGTCCGAAATTGTGCTCAAAGTTCAAGATCAAGGTCATGTTCTAAGTTGGCCTTAACTTTATTATTTTTTTCGTTCGTATTGTAAACCGATAATGGTTTGGGATGTTTCCGGGCTTATCCCCATTTCTGGTTTATTTAATAATGTAAGGCTGCCTCGAAGTCAAGCTCATGTACGGATATCGTTGCTAGAGGCCGTTTTGCGGATTCATGTTAGCCGTTAGCCGTACATAATAATGCAGTCATTTTTACTCTCTTTGGGGTCTTAATGAGCGTTCAGAGCAAAATGAATGGCATATTTGTGATAAGCGCCCAAGAATGCACCATATAATACTTATTATTTAGGCACCAAGGTCAAAGTCATCGGAGGTCATTTAAGGTCATATGAGACTAACATAAAATCTCATTATTACAGAATAAAAAGTACCTTCATGCACAACTCGACGCGTCTTGAAAAGAAGAACGCATTGTGCCATGCTTTTTGCTTCAATAGTCTTTTTACCGAGGTAAGTTGCAAAAAAAAACTCCATTTTTTGGAGCTTTGTCCTGGCCTCTGAGGTCACTCTGTAAATCTGAGACATTGAAATGGGGTATCACTAGATTTTGATGAAAGAAAGCGCGGTTTTAAGGCTCATGATTATATATATAAATGCAATGAAAACCCTAAGCCTCATGCTAATAATTGTATTCAAAATAGGGCCAAGAAAATGAGACAACTGTTTCGTGCATAGCACAATGTTAATATTCATAACTCACTGTATGTACCATTCCGCAACTAGGAGGAAGATCTATTCACTGAGCAGGCTTTGTGTGACGTTTAAAAAACTATGAAATGATTGTTTACTTCAGACCTGACGATGTGCTATGCACGAAACAGTTGTCTCATTTTCTTGGCCCTATTTTGAATACAATTATTAGCATGAGGCTTAGGGTTTTCATTGCATTTATATATATCACTAGATTTTTCTTATTTCTGCTTACAATGAAGACAACAATGAAGTTTGTAACCTTGACCTGACCTGTTGACCTGATGCCAGCTCACCAAAAACGTTATTGTTTTTTTTGTTTTTTGTTTTTTGGCGCGTTACACAGCTGTGTTCATGAGTTGGTATCTCTAAAACTTCATGCAGTTTTTGTATGCAACGCATTTGGATCGTTCCGCAAGTAGCATAAAGTGTGGTTAAGTTTCCTACACCAGCATGCAAATGCCCTCTACTGTTCCCAAGGTTATGCTGCTCTCCCGGTATGTCTAAAACTGCAGCTCATTTACAGCAGACTTAATCGTGAGAAAGTCAATATTTGTTAGTCTGAAGCACCGCCAGAATAAACTTGAGCTTCCTGGCTACTTTAAGTACGGCGCAATGGTGGCATTCTCATTCAGATTAGCGAGATTGGAAACAGCTAACAAAAAACTATAGAGAGACAAATATCAGTGATGCTGCACAAAATACTATGCTTTATTTAATCGGCAAGAGCAAACACAACAAGCCATATGTTTGCCATCATGAGAGAGTCGAGAATAAACAAAGAGAATGAATGTACAAAAGTTTTACAAACCCAACAACTAACACAACCAATTGCATGCGTCAGAAGCTGACTCTCATGCCCCAAGGCGGACCATCACTGTCCCAATGGACCACCGGCCCAACGTGGCAGGGCCCCTGTCTGGTGGGACAGGCCGCGGCCGCTGTGCGTCGTACAAAGTCACGTGACCCGGCCGTCGGTCAGCCTCACGTGGCAGACACTAGTGCGCTACGGTCACGTGGCCAGATCCGTCACTGGCCGTCGTCGGAAGCCTCCTGTGACACGTGCAACCACTCGGAATCACTGCTCAAAAGCTTACGATGGCGACCTAAAAAATTTACACATCACGCGACAGAAAACGGGCGATGTTGAATGGACGATGATAAGGGTGTTGGGAGCTTACAAAGTAGAAAGCATTGTCGTTAAAGCCCGAAACACCTAACCCGTAGCCAAACGTTTACGTGTAGCCAGAGTTTGAACAACGAATCGCGTTTTCCCGTGATTAGCCATAAACTCATAGCATATTTATTATAGATAGCCTTATTTAGCTCCAATTTTATGATCAAGCGTCATTAATTGACCTTGGAGGAGACCATCTCAGGTTTATGAAATAGGTATATCATTCTTATTGAGTTAAAAACACGATTCTGACAAATAGAAGCGCTTCAACCACTAGACACAAACTTTCAGTGACACCCCGTCATCATGCCGGCTCCATTGAAAGTATATTTTCCTTAAAAAAAGAAATAGAAAGAAAACGGTGCCACATGGACAAGAAACAACAGCAGAATCGATTGCTAACGAGAAGTATTCGTACAATACCTACACCTTAACTTATTCAGATTTCAAGGACTGGTGAGCTTGCTACTTCTTTTAAACTGATTCCCTACGAGAAAGGATTCCTCGGAGCTTTGCAAAGTTGCGTCATTTTTTACCGTGGAGGATTACGTATGACATTATGGGTCATTGACCTGGCCTGACCTGCGAATGCATTTGATGCAAAAAAATAGATATGATTCAAAGGTAAGGCATGCCAACTTTCAGCCTTCTAGTTATCTCTAGCATGCTCGGAGAAATCGCGAGAAAGAAGAAACGTCGAAGAATGACAGAAGCACAACGGCAAATAACTCCCACAATCGGAAAGGGCTAAAGAGACACACACTAAAACACGACAAACGTAGAACACCTCCCACCCCGTTTCATTGTGGTCGGATAGGATTATCGACACATTGGCAAAAAAAAAAAACACAAACACACAAAATTAGTGGGGAAATATACGGTGTCGGTCAACCACATCCAATCGGGAACATTGCTGATCGCTATGGAGAATTTCATACTTTTGTCGATAATGTTGATGAGGCTCATTTACCTATTCACATATAAAAATGTAAAAGGGCAGCAAGAGCATGATATAGATAGCTATTTAATTTCTTATTATTTGACGGCTCCAATCAACCCTTTGCGACATTTACGAACATTTAGAAAACGACATTTACTGCTTGTTTCTACGTAGCCCAAGAGATAATTTGAAGAAAACGCAACACACCTCCCATCCCGTTTCAATGCGGTTGGTTCGGATAAGGGCCACTGTTCGAGGCAGTGAACTAACAATGCCCGACTGTAAAGCAGCCAACATATTTACCGTGGTGTCTTTTTCCAGGGAGTAACCGACCGCGGCCGCCAAGCCATGTGGGAGAAATCCGTGGAGAAACAGGTCAGAAACCGAACTAAACTCATCAATTGTCAATTTGTCAGTGATATCTCCAGCAAAAAATAAGTGCAACTGTTGCTTCGCATTTGTTACGATCAGTTACAGCCGCCTTCCTCTCCATGAGGCGAAACATTTTCATTTTGCTAATCCTTTCAATATTCGACGTCGTCCCTTGCTTCTCACAATTTAAATTTATAATAAATGCTTGGTTACTTGTTGTGATTGTTCGGTTGTCCATCATGCCCTCAATCCAGTGACTGGAGACAGCGCCTGGCGATTATGAAAGCATATCGACACCGGGCTCCCGGCGGTGCTGCTGCCCGGGCGGATGGACGGGACGACTGTTCTCTGACGGGCTGACTGTTCTCTGGTGCAAACTGACTGTTCTCTATTGGCGGAGTGACTGTTCTCTGGTGACGGGCGGACTGTTCTCTGGTGACGGGCTGACTGTTCTATGGTGACGGGCGGACTGTTCTATAGTGACGGGCGGACTGTTCTATAGTGACGGGCTGACTGTTCTATAGTGACGGGCGGACTGTTCTCTATTGGCGGGAAGACTGTCCTCTGGTGACGGGCTGACTGTTCTCTAGTGACGGGCGGACTTTTGTTTGGTAACGGGCAACTGTTGTCTAGTCATCAAGGTGTAGCCATTACTCACTATAAAAAAAAATAGCCATCATCTATATAGTGACGCGCGGACTGTTGTTTGGTGACGGGCGACTGTTCTCTAGTCTGACGGGCTGACTGTTTTCTAGTGACGGCTGACTGATCTCTATTGGCGGGAAGACCAGTCACTGACTCTGACCAGACTCTGGTGACGGGTTGACTGTTCTCTAAAGGCTGTAGTCTGGTGATTGGTGAATGATGTCTTGTATATAGTGACTGATAACTGTTTATGATGACTGGTGGTGGCTTATGACTGGTGCCTTATTACTGGTGGCGGCTGGTGAATAGTTTATGGTGAGTATATGGTGTTTGATATCTGGTACACGGTGTCTGGTGATTGGTATATGGTATATGGTGACTGGTGAGTATCTGGCGAATGGCGTCGGGTATCTGGTGACTGGTGTCTGGTGTCTGGTGTCAGTGGTGACCGCCGTCCGTCCACCCAGGTCTGGGGGATGGACAGCTCGCGCCACGGCACGTGGGCCCGCCACTGCCGTCAGCCGGCCGCCGGCGCCGACGCGTCGCTGCTAGTTGCGCTGCAGAGCCAGGTATAAGTACAGGTGTACGATCCCAGCTGTCCTCTAGGAGAAAATATACAAAATTCAGCAAATGATTCCTAAATCCACCGAGGATGAGAGGATTATTTTAACCCGGCCGGGCCCGGGGGGTAATCCCAACCACCGCAGCCCGGGGGGGGCGTTTTTCGCCCCCCCCCCCTGTCTAACTCCGTAAATAAGGGAGCTACGGAAACAAAAGCGATACCAATCAAAAGGTCCTTACGAGACGATTCTAAAGCACCTAAAATTTTTGACCTCAGGTCAATTTTCAAGGTCAGAGGTCAAGGTCAAAGGCAAAAACCGGCACATGTGTAGTGATCTCAAATTAAGCCTTCTAGAGGACCGCAAGCTGCATCAAACCGGCAAAATTGGGTGTCAAACGAAAGAAGAGAATTTGAGGATTCCGAAAATGTGCTCAAAATCAAAGGTTAAGGTCAAGGTCATGCTCAAAATTGACCTCAAACTTGGCACTTTTTCGCACATCTTGCGTGCTAACTTCCAAGATGTTTTGAAATGTTTTGAGGCTTATCAGTTCCCTATTTGTGGTTCATCTTACGATACAAGGCTGCTCAAAGGTCAAGGTCACAGAAGAGTATCCCTGCTAGAGGCTATTTCACTAATTCAAGTTAGTAGTAATAAATAAGACAATTTTGCCATCCAGAAGCTCTAAATGAAGGCTTAGAGGAAAATAGATGCCAGATTCGTGATCAGCGGGTACAAATCCATCATGAACGACCTTTCATGTGTCAAGGTCAACCAGAGGTCATTCGAGGTCACATGAGGTCAACATAAAATCTGACCTTTTCCGAACAAAATATATATCATTCGACGCGGCTTGACAAGGCGAATGCGATGGTACCACTGCCGTAGCTCTAGGACCATTTTTGTCGAAGTTATTTGCGAAAAACTAAAACCACATTTCGGGGTCGTTGACCTGACCTCTGACCTCAGGTCACCAAAACTATTTTTCTATTTTTCTCTAGGTCAAACGCTACACAACCGTGCTCGTAATTTGTCTTTATCTCTAAAACTCCATTTTTAGCAGCTATTTGAAGTTTGCGTCTGTGACGCCGAAGTTTGCCATGCAGGGGTCTAGAAAAATGGACCTTGTGACGTCATCAAGGGGGCTAGGTCCAATTTTTTTACTTCAGAAGATGTCAAATTGATGGGAGAAAAGGTACTGAAAGTTTCGCTTTCCTATCCCAAAGCGTTCGGGAGCTATCGCAAATATTCGCCAGGGGGGGGGGGCGAAAAACGCCCCCCCGGGCCCGCGAGGGTTAACGCCCACCTTTTGTCAATAAATTTGTTAAAGGTGTGACCATTGCCATCGTTTCGGGTACATCCTATTGCATTTCAATCCAAGCAGTCCAATTTTTAAAGTCCACTCTCGTCACGTCACGTCATCACCAAGATCACCATAAAAAATTAAACTCACTAAAATGAAAAGCACCCCAGCAACTGACGACTGTTTTTAGTTACGATAAGTTATTGAGGCTATTAACTATTGTCTTAATATTTTGGATCCTCAATTTACACATAAAACAACCTAAATATGATCCCATAAACTTTTCATTGCGAGGTGAAGAGAGCATTGAACAATATAAAACTATCGACCGTCAGCCGAAGTCGTTCTAACTAACTCTCCTGTAAGAATAGCGACCGATGTAGTCTTGCCGTCCTTCGCGAAGATAGTACACAATGGTAAAAAAGAATTTCCTGAGGTCCTATGATCTCTCTCGAAATATCGGTAAAATTCGAGTTATACTGAGACACTCAGATTCTACTGAAATGAATTTTTAAGGACATTTACACTTGTTGTTCCTGGCAAGTTAGATGGGGGCGATACTTATGATCGCAAGTTAGATAGCGACGAAGATTCCCTTCATCGTCCTGTGGCTTGGCTACATTTAGGTGGACGAATCCCCTGCCAATTCTATATGGTTGGTTCCGACTACTGGCACCCGGACGCACGGCGCACGGTAAACGGATAGTGGCACGTTAGAGGTGAGACGATGTTGCCGCTTCGATATCTCACAAAAATATCATAACTTTAAAAATTGTCATCATCATTTCACGTATCCATCAGGAGTTCCGCATAAAGGGCTCTTCACTCGATGTTGTTTCTGTGTTTATAATCCTTCTTGCATGCAGTTTGTTATGGACTCATTTTTTCTGATCACCGTAACGTACTATAGGTGTTTCCGTGTTTAATAACCATAATTCATTACCAGCGTTTGCAGATACATTTCTAAAGAGAAGCGGCAAAGTAACGCTGCATAACTCGATTGATTAATAAACATTCCTAATGGCTAAGCTGCGTATTGATTTAACATCCCGGGTCCAGTTTTGGATCACATTCGGCTGGTTGTGTCGTGTTCGTGAAAAAGAGTTTTACAATTTACTGCATCCATTTTCCGTGTACCTTTGGACGTTTCGTCGGAAAATCATATCATGCATAAAAATCATTACGTTCTCAGCAAATAGGAACTTTCACAACACAATCGGTCGGCTTCAAGAAAAAGACTAGAATCAGATCATAATCATTTACCAGACGACAGGGGTGTCATTCCGTTTGTGCATTCAATGACCTTCCGACGAGTCGTCCATAGGTACCCTATACATATGTAGGTACTTATTTACGTGTGCCTACTTATTCTTCGTGTACTTAACGTGTATCGTGACTTAGCATGTTCATATGCGCTGTAATGCATTTTATATGCTTGACGTAGCTCAATATCTGCAAGAAAGACCGTGCTCAAGACGGAGGACTCGTTTTCTGTTGCAGGGCCAGGTGGATTTCTATACGATTCGCGACTTTTCACGGAACTTCGGTCGCAGTGCTCCGTATGACGAAGTGTATTCGCAGCTACCGACTTCCTCGCTGTCCAGCGCCGTGATACTGAAACATACCTGTGAGTCGTCACTGCTGCACCCCAGTAAAATCCCGTTATAGTTTATTAATTGTATAAAGGTTTCTCTCCAAGCGTTTTCTTCTTTAGTTGCCTCGTCCCGCTTCATGCTATATCGTCTTTTTCAATACGGCGTCATGGAAAATATGACATTTCATTTACGCTGCTTGGCCTGCTTTACCGTCGCCCAAAAGCCTCTTGCGTAGAAGTTCCACATTGTCTAAATTAAAACGCTCCTGTGAAAGTATCGTCGTTCTGATGGACTTGACCCTCCGACACAATGCTACGGTCTAGCGGTCGGGGTCCCGGAGGTTTGGCCACAGGAAATCTGTACAATCTACATACATATGTGTTGCCTGCAATGTCTAAAGGTTGTCTGTAGCTGTAAGCTGTCTGTTGTGTGTGAGGGCTATCTCATATCTGAAGCTCTCTTTAGTCTATACATACGTCCTACATGTCGACTGCAGCGCCTGCGGGTGACCTGCAGTGAGCGTGAGTTTCTGTCAGATGTCTAGATGTCTTCAGGCGATCTGAAGTGTGTGTGGGTGTTCTGTCAGCTATCTGCGATCTCTGTGGTCTGTCTGTATATGTTGTGACATCCCATTCACCACCCCACGGCTCCTTCAGACGGGTGGAACCAGCGCGCCCACCCGGCCGACGCCTGGGTCGCCGGCCGGCCGCCGCCGCGGCTCGGTCCGCGCCCGTGGCAGACAGAGTCGGAGCGGACGGCCGCGCGCGCCGGCACCTCCCTGCCGTGCTCGCCAGGCCGCTCCTCCGACGAGGGCTGCACCAGCCACGACAGCCTCACCGACTCGTCTCGGCCGGGCACCAGCAGCGACGAGGACACCGACAACAGCTTCGTGCTCGACTGCAGCCGGCCGACGCAGCGGCCGCGGCGCACCCGGCACTGCCACCGGCCGGCGCCGGAGCCACCGGCGCGGCCCGGCACCCCGCGGCCGCCGCTCCGACACCGGGAGCACAGCAACGAGTTCCACATGGTCAAAATCAAAATGTCCAAGGTGTACCACATCAGCTCACAAAACGAGGCGGCGCGCCGGCGCGAGGCCTCCGTCAGCAATCTGGTGCCGCCGCCGGCGCACCGGCCACCGCCGCTGGCCCGGTCGGTCAGCGCTACCCTGACCGGCGAGCGGCGCCTGCTGCCGGCAGCTACCAGCACGATGCCGCGGCCGCCGTCAGCCGGAGAGCCGTTCAAACCGGCGGCGTTCGCCGCGGCTCTGCTGCCACTCGACGACCGCCACTCGCCTCCCGAGTGCGGTCCTCCGCATCCACCGCCCCCACCGGCGCCCGAGACCGGCCGCGACCGACCGGCACCGGCGCCGCCACCGCCGCCGGGCAGGGTCGGCCAGCCCCGCGGCGTGCGCGCTCTGCCCTTCCCGCTCAACAAGAAAAACGGCAAGATCCACTACCAGTGCAACCAGTGCTGGAAGACGTTCGGCCAGCTCAGCAACCTCAAGGTGCACCTGCGCACGCATAGCGGCGAGCGACCCTTCACCTGCCAAGTGTGCGGCAAGAGCTTCACTCAGCTAGCTCACCTGCAGAAACACAACCTGGTGCACACAGGTGAGCCGGGCGGGAGGTCGATGGAATGGCACAAAATGGTCAGCGGAATGGTAATGAATGACCAGTGAAATGTTGATAGACGGTCAGATGAATTGTATGGAATGGTACGTGGAGTGATTCGAAATGACCAATGGAATGGTACTGAATGGTCGGTGGAATGGTTCTGAGTGGTCAGTGGGAACGAGCTTGAATGAGTGGAATGGCTATATAAATGATCAGCGGAATGATTCTGATGGCCATTGGTCAGTGGTGTGGTCCCGAAAGGTGGATGGAATGGTTCTGAGCATTCTACACAGCCGGGTTCAGCTCACTCCGCTGATCGACTATCAGACAACTCCGCAACGTGAAAGTTCACGCCATCTCTTCCACTGATTCCCTTATCTGTATTCACAGGAGAGCGGCCGCACAAGTGCCACATGTGCGGCAAGCGTTTCAGCTCCACCTCCAACCTGAAGACCCACATGCGGATCCACTCTGGCGAGCGGCCGTACGCGTGCAACCAGTGTCCGTCGCGGTTCACTCAGCTGGTGCACCTGAAGCTGCACCTGTGGCTGCACACCGGCGAGCGGCCGTTCGTGTGCACCAGCTGCGGCCGGCGCTACGTCAGCACGTCGGGTCTGCGCAGCCACCAGAAGACCTCGTTCTGCGGCCGGCTGGCGCCCGCCGAGGCCCCCGGCGGCCCGACCGGCACGCCGCCGGCACCCCAGTGGGGCTAGCCCGCCCGACGGGGCGGTGCGCGCCGAGCGCGGACGGACGGGTCTGCGGCCGTCGCAGCGCGACACTACCCTGGTCATAGGTTTGCTTTTAGCTCTCCTCTAAGTTTGACTATCTATCAAAGAATGACAGCTAGCTGCGCACAACTGAGCTTAGAAGGCTTACTTTGGATCAGCATCCATACTGGCTCGTGGACAGACAGATAACATTCAGCCAGTGATCACTAATTAGGTAGGTTTCCCGATTGGTGCGAGCGAGGCACAGTTGAGGCGGATCTTTCAATGAGACCTATTCTGTCCTACTCGCCCGTTCATCTCATTCATGACTGCTCGGGAGCGGCGGCCTAGGCTTAGTATGTTCCATGCGTGTCTCAGTCTCATTCATGTGTGCATATCATAACTGTGCTTGGAGCTTGGCGGATACTACATGACTTTCAAGTTCAAACAAACGGGTGACGGAAGACATAGTTTGTTTCTGCAACGGCTAATATGCATCGTACTGAAGATTTTAGTGGCATTTCGATAACTTATTTCAAACATCTGTGCCAACTAAACGTTAAATAATGTATTTAAAAACGCTGGGCACACTTTTAAATCTCAAACAGCGTCATGATTCGAGGACGTATTTGAGCAGCACCTATCAGGATATTCGTTGTTCCAGGTTTAGTACACCCTTCAGTGCCTGCATCATTTCCGTCCTTTTTTTTTGTTGAAATGTCTGCTCCGGGTCATTAGATGTCAGGCCACAAAGTCAGGTCAAGTTCTATCGTTAAAAACCAAATTTACGTACCTCCTTCCACGATTAATTTCAAACTGCCATGGACTGATAAGGGTCATGATTCTTACGATACACTAGTACATTCATTAATACTAGATGCGTTTTCATCAGAACCTGAGGTCAGATGAATTTTATTACCTCCCAATTAGGATCTGGCGAAAATTACGAACAAGAAAAATGCACATTTTCGCTATTTTAGTTGATATTTCATCAGCCCATTCGTAAAAAACATTGCATCCGAGCAACGTACTCCAATGACACCTCTTGACCTGACCTTCGACCTGACCTAAAAAGCGACCGGAGGGAATATTATCCGGTCCTATTGAAACAACACTTTCATCATAACTTTTTGCGAGCCTACCACTTCATGATACGTGGCTCAGGAACCAAATTAGATGAAGGCAGTATTCATACTTCCCTCAGCAAAGCGCATCAGGGTTGGTGTTCATTATCAACAGAGGAGTACGTAATTGCTCCACTAATTATTTTCGCGAATTTAATTGCTGCAGTATCCCTGCCTGGGTATTGACCACAACAAAAAGCTGACGATGGTGAACTGTGCACTGAAAACACATAAAGCTTTTGCATCGCAAAAAAGGTCGAAGAAACCCTTGATCAGGACCAAAATTAGTTTACGCGTAACCCACCTATCTATCAAAATGTGACTGTTTACATATAAAACGCCCCAATATCTATCGCTTACTAAGAGTTCAACAATAATTTGTGTTTAACTCATAATGAGTTCATTCAATTCATAAAGCCTAGCAAATGCCGTCTTCATTTGACCTTAGTAATTTGACAGCCTCATCCGACCTTTGAGCAGCTCTATTCGCATATGCCGCTGCATGTTTCACTATTATTTTGGTGTTCGATGTATCGGTGTGCGTCGGTGTGTCTGGCCTGTCGCCTCTGTCCAATGACAGCGGTCATTCGGCGACTGCAGTCGCTGCCTGTGTCGCGCCGCGCTGACGCCCGGGGACTCAGCCCGTGCAGGGCGCACTGTGGGCCAACTGCCCCCAAAACATGGTCACATTGGCGCTCCCGGACTGGCGCGGTCCTGCGTCGCTCAAACAATTATCGCCATTGGCTGTACTCGCAGGGCGCGCCATGCCACCGTTCAAAGGCGAGATACAAACACTTCCACGTGATTCAATGTGCAATCATAAGCTATTTTTGTAAACATAATAGCTGATGTATCTAGGTGAAAATGTATATTCCTACGAGCTAAATATGTAGGCAGGTGGTGAGTAAAATGTAAGATATAGATATATAATCCATTTTCACCCGCCGTCCATGATTAAAAGTTGTTAAAGACCATGAAAACGGCTCAAATAGCTGAAATAAGGTTGTGCATTCCGCATTTACTTGCCGGTCTCATTAAAATAAGTAGTCGGATAATGTCAGTGCAGCTTACGGCCGATGGAATAAAATTGTACCTCATAAAATATAAACAGTGGATTTCCCCTAAGATTAAGTATTCCATTAGTTACCTAACCGAATATTGAAAGTGGACTTAGTGAGACCTTCGATTAGCCTAAATACAAATTTAATGCCTTTTCTTCCAAAAAGTTAAATGCCCACTAACGTATACCGATTGATCGTATGACCGTCTGGCGGTTAGGCGAGTGTGCCGACTCACAGGGTGCAGCCAGCCACGTGCCGCACGTGGTCACGCCACGTGCTCCCGTCCACGACACGTGCCGTGCATATCATCCACGGCAGTGTTCTAAAATTGGATTTTGGTTGGGTGTGACGATGATGACCAAAAAATCTAGGATGAGAAAAAAAACAAGTGAAAACCTATATCACTTTCGCAATAAAGGCGTAACGCTACGCTGGCTGATAATAAAAGAACATACCATTCCTGACCACCAAAACTAACCGAAAAAGACGATGCAAATAGGTAAGGATGATCTACGGCAGAATTATAACTTTAACATCTGATCGCCAAGTGTTTCTAAATGCGTCCCATTTTATCCCAACATTTGTGTTTGATTGAGACTAATGAATTTAAGAATCACCCTTGTCTCTTATACAGCAAAGAATGAATACCTACTTCAACCAGTGAGATTTCATTTTCCTCACAAGTCAAAATGCATTGTCACAATTGAATGACTGTCCAGTGGCCATCCTTCTCCTAGCCTTAAATCAATGCCTTCCTTTCCGTTTCAGATGCAGATAGCAGATATTACCGTCAGCATCTGCTACGTTCCTACTCATGCTTACTGGCACGGATCCAGGACGGTCCTTCTGCCTGTATATTTCTCCTAAAGAAGATCATCCGCGGACCTCCATCCTCGCGACGCCAGTCGCCATCATGCGAGCGAACTAGGTCCTTAAGAAGCAGAAGATGCAATGATTCTGTTGAAATATGTAACTCATGTGTTCTGGCCTCTGGCTGGGACGTTTTGCGCCTATGGCAGCACTGCTTCCAAGATTACTGTATATTTGAGATAATATGCGGCAATATAAGTATGTAGTTTTCGTTCGCATCTGACCTGGTAATATTCGTACAGTGTACACAGTATAGCTTTGAGCTTTCCATTCTCAACAGATATGACAATGGCCGGGATGATACTGGAAATGGTGCCTTTGCTCTGAGCACACGGAACGGGACGCAGCATTGAGTATGCAATTGCAGTCGCACTATGCAGCATGACATACGCCGGAAATCTCTCGGCCCGAACGCCGGAACGGCCAGCGATAGTCGGTACTCATTACGCATAGTGAAAATGGAAACGGTGTCAGCGCAACTCTTCGAAAGGAACGGTGCACTACATGAGACTAGAAAAAGGGTCACTGATTAGGGCACCCTAAACGGAACGATGTGCACTGCGCAGCATAATACGCAACATCGCAATAAAAAGCGTGCAGCTAACCAGGGCATCCGTATCGGAACGGAACGGGATGCAAAAAAAAAAAGGATGCCACCGACCTCATGGCAGGCCACCGAAACTGAGCGGTAGCTACCTATCATGTCACGTGGTAAGTGCTGAGTGAGAGAGCGTCACTGATCAGTGATCAGTGATCAGAGCACCCGCAACAGAACGGAGGGCATCAGTGATCACTGATCAGAGCAACTGCAACGGAACGGAGGGCATCGCTGATCAGGACATCAGGACATAATGCGAGCCGACATACGCCGAATCGCGATTCCGGCCAAACATGGTCTCAAGAAATAGGTCACAGGTCAAAGGTCATTTGGGTCAGGAATATGAGATTTTCAGAGTAGGTGTCCAATTAACTGACTCGAGAGTCCTGAAAGTGTCGTCCCGATCGGCCGCTTTTTACGCGAGTTATTCTCGAAAAAACGAGGGGGGTGGTTCGTTCGACCCCCCCCCCCCCATACGGGCGAGGGATAATTTATTAAAAAGAAAAGCTAGGGCCTGCTTAATTCCATCTACCAGCTTGAGAACATGTATTGGGCAGATCTGGGGATACCGTATCTTAAATTTATCCCTAGAGGTGTGCCAAGGTATCCTTTCACTCGTCTTGGCTTTCCCTCGGCCGAACGCTTCGTGTTTAAAAACCTCTAAAACTAATTGAAATGAATAATTGGCGGTAAGACTATTGCAAAAGCATGAGAAATTAACGTAAAATACATCATTACCGGTCTTATAACCTCATTTCGCGTATGAAACCTGCCAGAGTCCACAGAGTTTCATATTCATCCCTAGGGTGTGCCAGGGTGGCGTGTCAGTCATCTTGAACCCCCTGCCCGACCCGACGCCTCGAGTTTCAAAGACATCTAAAAACTAATAACGTTAATAATTTGTGGTGAAATTGATATAATATGATCAGAAAAGAACGCAGAATAAATAAGTATCGGTCTCAAAACATTATTTTGCCTATGAAACCAGCCAGAGCCCGCGTAGTTTTAGATTCATCCCTAGGGTGTGCCCAGGGTGGCTTTTCTCATCTTGGACCTCTACCAGGCGCGACGCCTCGAGCTTTAAAGTCCTCTAGAAGCCATTGACGGACATAATTTGTGGCGAAATTGATGCGATAGGATCAGAAATAAACGCAGAATAAATTGGGATCGGTCTCAAAACATTATTTTACCTATGAAACCAGCCAGAGCCCGCGGAGTTTCAAATTCATCCCTAGGGTGTGCGCAGGGTGGCTTTTCTCATCCTGGACCTCTGCCAGGCCCGACGCATCGAGCTTTAAAGTCCTCTAAAAGCCATTGACGGACATAATTTGTGGTGAAATTGATACAATAGGATCAGAAATGAATGTAGAATAAATTGGTATCGGTCTTATAACCCTATTTTGTATATGAAACAAGTTATAGCCCACCAAGTTTTAAATTCATCCCTAGGGTGTGCGCAGGGTGTGCCCAGCTGACTGCGGGTCCAAAGATGAAAATTTTGTAGGCGTATCCTGCGTAACTTAGTCAAAAGCGAATTGCAGAGGTAGTATTTAATTTGCGCAAGCAGCGGCTCATCCGTTTTGCGTTGGCAGCAAACCACCAATCATAGTTGTTATGAATATCCAAAAGCATTTATTCAGAACACAAGCCTGGTTCTTACAAACAGTTGAGGTGATCAAGGTCATTCAACGCATATTTGTTATTAACAGCTGGAAGTGTGCAAGGTTATTTTCTTTCGTTGTCAGTCAGGGTGAGTTGTTGGGTTTGTGCCTTGATTTAGCATCTTTTTTTTTTCATGGAAATTATGCATTATGTAGCAAACCTGTAAGTTCTAACTGTCTATATGGCGCTGCTAGGTGTATCTGGTAATCTGGCTGTTCATTGTTGAGCATGCGTTGAGCGTTTTTCAAAGATGAAAGAATTCCAATTTACCTGGTTTTGGGGATGAAAATATTTTGCCCATTAGGTGTGATTTTCCACCCAAAATTCCCAAAAATGGAACACTGATCCACGGAGTAGGGTCACTAAAGTCGGCTGCGGTCAGCACAAAACCGACATCCCAGTCGGTGAATACTCCAGTTCAGCCACAGCTTAACTATTGAGCTTAGCTCAGTTTCAACAAATCAATAAAGAAGGCATGCTATTCGACGGTGATATGGCTACCGATCAGGGAAATGGGAAGCTTTCTTACCTACACGGCAAGGCAAATTGTCGGTAAAATTAGGACCTGCCAGGAAATGTATTTTAGTGCAAAGAACCTCTGTTGATCTGTGTAACGCTGTGTGTAATTCGCGTGCACATAAAGCTTATAACCCCATACTGAGCTTTAATAGTACTTTGGATTTATTTATTTTTATTTGTTTTGTTATTTTTGGTTTATACATGCAGTGAACTAGGCAATTTGTTTAAGCTATTCCAGCATCTGGGAAACGCTTTTGATACGATTAGATATACTACAAATATGGTAGCTTTTTTGTAGCGGCTCGTAGCCCACATGACTGAATATGATCTCACAATTTAGGTATTCGCGTCGATCAGAGAGCGTTGGATCGCGGATGTTCGTTTACATGATTGTAGTGTGTGCGTCGTGAGTGAGCTCGATCTCATAAGCCGGTGAGCTCAAGTCGCTGTGAGCAGTGTGATACGCTCGTCGCCTCCTTCTCTGCGGGTGCTAAGCCAGCTTAAACTCCTCTCTATCGTGTGTGTAACTGTATAACGGATCAATGTGTTACTATTTAAGAGTGTTATGGGCCAACAAATAAACACGAAAACAAAGGTGGGCGTTTAAAGATGAGCACTGTCTTCATTTCATCCCTACAAACATGCCTACATATTACCTCATTCGACAGCGGACAGTCGACAATTCCTCATCTTAGCCTTGATCTTAGCTCTTCCCAGCCAACCAAGTGTCCGTGAACTTAGCGACGCATACGAATACGCATTCACTGACGAGTTCCAATTTACTCAAAATTTACAGCAGCAACGGTTAAAGGAAAAGGGCCACCTTTAACATGGGGATTGAAACTGAGATAGCCATCTTGTAGCCCGTGTCCGAAAACCTCTCTGTTTACCTCCTTACGGCCGATTTCGGCCTCCATTCGTAGTTATCGGCAATTTTAAAAGAAAATATGCCAGGAATGCGTTCTTATCCCAGGAATGCGTTCTTATCCGACAATACAGCCACCCGCGGCGAGGCTTTGGTTTTTAACCAATCAGCTTGCAGCAGTACTGATCAGGCACGGATCCCTGTACTAGCGAGCAGACCACGAGCAGTTGCGTTATTTTTCGTTGTCTGTTCTGGCAATCGGCCGGCGGATGAACATCCGCAATCGAATCTTGAAATCCGTCGCGCTGATTGGTGATGAGTTTCATGAGCTACTTTCATGAGGTCTATGAAAGTAAACCTATGCTATGCCCTGAACAGATGACATCTCGTTTGGTAGCCAATTGCTAAAATGCATTTTTATCTTACGCAAGGCAGTATACCATATTTTATACCGTGGCTCTGATCCGAAATCAGGGCATTTTTGTTCGAACAAATACCTATAATAACGATGAAGAAGTGCGTGATCCGCGGAGCAAACGACCTACGTCGGGTCGGGACTGATATGCGTGTGACTGTGCACAAGTAAGTACCTAGGTACCTAGGTAGGTACCTAAATTCTTATTTATTGCAATGGCTCTTCTATTACTTTTGTTTTCACAGAACTCTCCCCTGGATTAGCAAACCCTTTTGAACTGTTCAGGCTTTCACAACTGAAATGCCAGACTGGATAAAAAAACGCAAGTTATGCCGAATATGTCATGCGAAGTGGCGTGATTGCGGCGTTGCCCCGAAAATTTCATCGCACATCCAGCATAATTTTGCATGCGTCAAATTCAGCGCATGGTGGCAGCTGAATTTTTAGGCGCAGGGTGACCGCATGGCGCATAATGTTTATGCAAATGGCTGTCACCGAATTTTTTGACACGCTGTGGTCAATCTAGCAGCAGACTTGCCCTGCGGGCGCTGGCAGGTCTGAAGAGAGTCGGAACTTCCGGCCTGGGCCTTGTTTCACCTTAAGATTCTACAGTGTGCCACACAAATTGTGGTATTGGGTTTTCATGGGAACATTAACTAATTCAGACGCTCAGAAAGGGAAGAGCGTCTGACTCCGAGGCCCCGGAACGATCTGTCTGGTTGATATAGCCTTGGTCGGTAGATATGCACATGTGCTTTATGTAAAAGTGGCTTAATTTTGGTGCAAACAGGCACCCAACTTTCAGTGGAAATCATGCACTGGAATTTCAGCTCAAAATTGCTTGCTTCAAATTTTGGCGCATGAGGGGCTCACGGGCATCCGGCGTAGTGTATGGATGTTTTCCAGTCTGGCTGAAAGGCAGAACTCAGACACATTTATCCAGCCCTTCAAATCCCATTTCCTGGTTGTGGTAACACCTACCTTTCCATGGGGGTTTGGTTCATCTCTTGTCTACACAGTTTTCTTTCACTTATGTGCTGACAAGAAAAGGAAACTCACCAGAGCCCAGTTTCACCAAGTGCGGTAAACTCAATTTG